AAAAGTTGAAATATATTCTGGGCAGATTATTATAGGACCCGGCCCTCACTAGGTACTAATGCCATGTAAGCAATTTGCTCAACAATATCTCACAAATTTCACATTTCTGTTTTGAACAGTTCATGCCACAACGGCTCTGTAGCTTGTTTCTTTGATGTCAGCTGTCTTCAGGGTAAGTAATTACATAAAAAATCTTATTTCCAGGGGGGGGGGGGTCCTTCTTTAAAGAAAATGAGCTTTGTTGTCGATAGAGGCAGTTTGACCTTAAGATTAATCTAAATGATAATTTGTTTATAACACTCAGGGAAGTGTGGTTATGGGGGAAGGATATACGATGGAGGAGATGTGCTACACCTAAAAAAGAGCTGCAAAGATTGGTAAGACTGGATTTCATTTTTATACAACCCTTGCTACCTTACGAGGCATTATTTACTTCGTAATTCACAGGTACTTCCGCTCATTTCCGTTTAGGTTGGAGTTCCTTCCTTTTACACGGAAAATGGGAAAAAACTAGGCGGGAACTATGAACTGCCTTCACTACAGAAAACTTAAAAAATGATTTTCATTGGAATACAAAGTTCTTCCCCTTTAATGCCCCTTTCCATGGGATCTATCGGAGAAATGTCCCAGTCCTTGCTCAACAAGCTGATTTAATAAATACATACTCCGTGTTTAATATGGAGGGTTCCGGGGTAACAGACAACAACGTAATGATGAAAATTTGTGTTACTACCTCTGCGCATGTAGTTCCTGCCTGCAATGTAACCACGTGTTTTTGAAACCTGATTCCTTGCACGAAGTGTGCTCGTGGAACCTTAGTTAGTAGAGTGGAACTCGTCAAAAGAGTCGGTAAGTTTTCTGACTTGTATTTCGGCCTTTTCCTCACGAACTCTTGAACATTGAACTTATTGTAGCATGTATTTTGATTCTAGAAAACCTAACTCGTCGTGCGTAGGATATTCGAACTTAAATTTAGACCTACTTCATCGTGAATTTGTTTGAGCTTGACTTTGTTGACTTAGCCCGCGAAAACATCCGTTTATCTTCGCTCTTCGCTGATGACCTAAAATCTGTCCGGAATCCTCAGAAGCGCTGATTGGTCCGCGCGAAACGTCCCCAGCGGCGAAGAGCGAGGAGAAACGGATAATATCGCAGGCTATTGTTGACTCGGCTCTGGATCTATTTGTCTTTTGAAACCTGGAATGTTTATGGAATACGCGGAGTTCGAGTTTTCGACTTTGGACCGCAACAATTTGCAAAAGTTTAGCAGTCTTCAAAGATCAGGTTATGATTTCCCCGTTCATTGTTAATATATTACCTAAAACCTGAAACTGTATTATATTCAAAAGGTTACGAAAAAAGGTGTAAAGCTTTGAAAAGTGAAAGAAACTACAAGGATCGGTCATTGCCATCAGCCAACTCAGAAGTTCATTGTTTAGGTGTTCGATACAGTTTTTCAGAGGCCATGCCGATATTTTTCAATCGCCTTAAAAGTGTTTTTTTCCTTGTCTGATCGCTATAAAATTTTCACCAGTAATTGGCTATGGATTGAAATTTGTGAAAATGTAGTTTTAAGTGAAATCGATATTACTATGACAACAATAAACAAAAAACTTTGAAATTGATAAAAGCCGAATTTTGTGTGATCTTGACCTGCTACTGAAAATCCAACACTAGGAACTTAAAGTTTGGTGTTTAGCGAACAATCTCCGTAAGAAGTGAAAAATAATGTGCGCTATACATACCTCCATGACTAGTACATTTTAGTTTGAATTTATCGCATCTTTTGAATGTAAAACATTGACAATACTCACACTGAAATGTACTAGTCATGGATATATGTATTGTCCGGAGTAATTTGGAAAAATTAGCATAACGTCAAAACAGTGAATGCTGTAGCGCGGATTTTTGACCGGTTCGTAGGATAGGTTTGTCTTGAAATTTCAAGGTGTTGCAGTGAATCAATCTTAATGAAAGTTTCAGACATTATTACACAAATTATGAAGATTATCAATATGTGAAGAGTTTTTAAAAAAAATTCGTTCTAGTCGTTTCAAAGATGTACAAAAAAGCGTTAAAAGTTCAAATTTTGAATGAAGTTGCACCTAGACAGGTGGTGAGAAAACGGGTTAGTTTTTAAGATCGCAAGAACGAAAATACACCAAAAATTCCTAGCATCGAAATATGATATTAAGCAGCATTCTGACTCTACTTAAGAATAATTTGAGTCATTTATAACGCTTTAATTAAATAAACTATCACGGCTATTGAAAATTTAAGGTTTGAAATATATTTTCGTTTTAGTCGAATTCAAACATATAGAATTTTTTACTTCTTACGGAAGTTATTAGCTAAACACCAAGCTTTAAGTTCCTAGTGTTGGATTTTCAGTAGCAGGTCTAGACGTTAATCAATTTCAAAGTTTTTTGTTTATTGTTGTCATAGTAATATCGATTTTCCTAAAACCTACATTTTGACAAATTTCAATGATTGGTCAAAATTTTATAGCGATCAGACAAGGAGAAAATCACTTTTAAAGCGATTGAAAACTACCGGTATGGCCTCTGATAAACATTATCTAGAGAAAATGAAAAGGAATTTACGACGCCTAACCATTTTATACATCCCAGCTACTCATTTCTCGACTTAATGGTAAGTCAAATCCAATTAAATAAGGCGAAAATCGCTTATTAAGAAAGACGTAAATAAGGGAACTATTTAGTGCATGTTAGTGTTGAGGTAAGCGGGCACACCCATGAAAGCCACAATTTCGTAACATTTTGCTGGATAGTTACAATACTAACCAACTAGCCTGCGAAAGCATCCGTTTCTCCTCGCTCTTCGCCGATGGGGACGTTTCGCGCGAAGGAACGTCTGCGACTCAGCGACAGAAATTCCATACTGATGGCGGAAAATCTGTTCGGAATCCGGTCAGAAGCGCTGATCGGTCGACGGAGTAGTTACATTGTTTTAGCTATTGTTTACGAATGTCAGACAAAAGACAAAAGCTACAAAGTTCAAATGTAAAAGTGAAGAATCTCTAACAAAACAGTCAATATTTGTGGAATATAGTCTTCTCTAGAAGAAGCATTTGAGTTTTGCTGAAGCTCGTTAGCAGATGAACACAACACTTTACCAAAATCGACCTGAAGACACTTAAAATTGGACAAATTTGTATTTAGAACCCCATGAGTACTAGATTTATTATGTAAACATTGGATTGCCAACCCTAACAGTATGGAATTTCTGCCGCTGAGTCGCAGACGTTCCTCCTTGCGAAACGTCCCAGGCGGCGAATAGCGAGGAGAAACGGATGTTTTTGTAGGCTACTAACCAACATCCCCAATAATTGCTTTTCGCAGCGTTTGTACTTCTGGAAGATGGAATTGCATGATGTTGATATGCAGGGCGGGTACGTGTCAATAAGCTAGAAAACTATAAGTCAACATGTACAGGACTTTTTTGACCTTGTGTTGTTTATGCAGGTATTTATGATACCATCCAGCCACTGATTGATTATCTTCTTACAGCAACCCTTTCTTAAACGTTTGTCATATTTGCAGCTAGACTTGTCTTTCCCCATTCGGCTTCTTGCCAATGGCTATGCCAAGCTCAGAAGACGAAGCCGCTTAGCCTATTAGAGCATATTAGAGGGTCTCAATGGGGTTTAACCGTCAAACGGCCGAAAATTTAACCGTAAACCGTCAAAAATGTAGATTAATATTAACCGTCAAAGGTTTCAAGGTATTTCAATCTCACTATTTTAGCTGATCTTTACAGATTTCTGGCTCGGCTTATGAAGAATATCTAAAATGAACGGAAACACGAGTTACTACGTTCTCTAGACATTACAAGACCTTACAAATTCCCTATATCTCAAAATATTTCGAAATTTTATATGCGAAAGGCCTATAGAAACCCCGGGGGGCTACTCCCCCATAAAGGAGACCTTTTAGGGGTTTAAATTTGTGGATTCGTACCGCTTAGGGTGCTAAAACCTATGGTAACCGCTGCCGGAGATGATACGCTTTATTAGTATAAAGATTTATGACAATACTTTCCACAATTCCTTGAAAAGAAAGGGTTCGCAAGTAATCTTTATTACTATTAAAATTTGCAAGTGCCAGTTATATAGTTTTGAATTGGTACCTCTTAGGGATGGAAATGAATTTGGGACACTCCCATAAAACAAGATTTTGGTACCATTTAGGGGTGTTCTCGAAAATTTCCGACGAGCAGCCCCGTCACTTTTATAGGGGAGTACCCCCCCTTGGGGAGAAAAACTTGAAAACACAACAGTTAATATTAGTATATGCAGAAGTTAAACTTAAACTCCTGGACTTAATTTCCACTAAATAACCGTCAGCCATCAACAGCTCTAAAATTTAACCGTCAACAGTCACAATTGGAAAAAAACCTCTCATTGCCCTATGCATTTTTTTTGCTCGGTGTCATAAATGGTTTAAAACTTAAACTCTTACGAATTTTAATCCCAGGCCGGTTTTTTGTAATTAAAATGTTCAACCTGATGAGTATTTTCATCTCCATTTTTAAATTTTCTTTTACAGTCAAGTCCAAAGCAAACTTGTCAGTATTACACCAGGATCTCAGATCTTACCTGACACGTGTAGCCGTCCTCACTTCATTACTACTAATGCAGTGGCTGTTATTGATTTGTTCTTTTGGTTGATTTGTAAACCAGTTCTAGTTGTGAATAACTGAATGTTTAAAGTATTGAAAAACATCTAACGAGGAGGTGCCACTCAATAGATCTGGATAGCTCCAAATCAGGAAGACCGCCTTGGTACCCGGCCTTTCAAGAGGCTGCAGGCATCAACACAACAACCTCATGGAGACAAAGAACTACAACTGACAAACTACAATGAGAGTAACTACAGGATATTTTATTTATGTTTTAGTGGATTCGAACTATTTTATTGCATTTTAGTGCACTTATTTCATCATAACTTTCTGTTGGTGTTTGTAAAAGGATCTATCTTTTCTCTGTTATTTTTTTAGAATTCATATTAATTTTTTTTATATATTTTCTTTCAAAAGAAAGATATCGCTTACCGCTGCTTAGACGATAAAGATAGTGTCCATATTTTTAGCTCGGATTCATCACGATCACAAATTTGCTGATAATTTTCCACCTATAGTTTATCATAAAGACCATAGAATCATTATGACATTAAATGTTAATAAATACATGACGTGGAAAGAGTGTTTCAATCACCTGTTGATGATATACATTGGTTTCCTGCAATTAAATATACATAGACTCTTTTTTACTCCAAAAGCCCAGGATCTTGTTAAACCAAGATGTACGCTAGTAACTCACTCGTGACTTTAAGAAGACATTGCTATGTCCTAACAGAGCGGCTGTTTCTAAGTTTACTTCTATTTGTCATAACTTCGTGAGCTTTCAAATAAATAAGAACCCTGAGCTGATAACTTTCCTGGCACTTGCAATCTTGAGTACTCCGTTTTTGGTGACTACCTTAACCAGGAAGATGCCTTAGATTTCACCTCTTTTTTGCCGACTCGCTGTACTGGCCTCGTAACTCTAGAATCACTGTTAACAGGTTTGCATAGTTCCGGCCACACTGTTTCTTAATTGCCTCATGGAGTTGTGTCGAGTACCATCTCAAGTACTCTTTGTTGATGTAATAAAGGTCAATCTGTAAAAAAGATAAAGAAAGACAGTCGCGCCAGCGTGCAGCTCAGGTGGCGCAACTTGATTCTTTGTTCTCATTGCATGTTGAATGATTTCTATTCAAAATCAAGTATACTTATTCAAGACGTGCCTGTCTTGTATTGCAAATCTCGATTGTATTGAAATAAGCAAAGTAACATTTCAAAGCAAACAACGCAAAAAAAAAAATCATGCATTTGATATAACATGCTTTAAATGAATTCCGGACAAGCGTTTATTATACAAAATTACAACGACCTATTTATCGATCATTGAAGGGTTGAATTTCTCTGTTCCTATCGATACCCTTGACAAGCTTCTTCCTTCCCTCATATACTTTGTTAGTGATAAAGAGTCAATCAAAAAAGGGATTCAAACGTCATTAACTATCCATTTTTTTAAGACATGCTCAGTTTTCCTTTTATGAGCCCAGAGAATATTTGCTAAGTTAATTTTGTGGGGATGGTGCAGATTATTTGTTTTGCCTCTAATGTAGGGTGGATGCAATTATAAGTTCCCTAATGTAAAATCAAGAAAAATTAAACTGAGGAACGTTATTCGACGTTTCGATGTTTCTAACATCATTATCGGGCGGATGAAAACGTTAAGGGTCAAAGTTGTTGAAAGAGTTCAAGTTTGATTACTGAATAAGATTACATTCGTGGATGCCTGATTATTACGCATATGTCCTAATAGAAAAGCTTCGCGCGAATAGAGTCTGATTGCACGTTTAATGATGGTTTGAGTTCCTGTATAAACAGCAATTCGTAGACAAGGCATTCAAATAGATTTCTACACCTTTTAAGGACCGAAAAAATAAAATTCAACCCTTTTAACAATTTTGAGTCTTAACGGTTTTCATTGTTGATATAATGTATTGGAACAACGTTCCTCAGTTTAATTTTTCTCTTTAAATGCTTTAACAAGCAACTGACTATCCGCTTGCTCTCAGACTGGCTTTTCCTTGTTTATTTGCCAGTATGTCCATATCAGAGCGGTGGATCCAGTTACACTCCTTACTATGTTACTTACCTCTGATCTGGAAACCAGCAACCTAAGCAGCTGTGTTTCGTTGGCATTTTTTATCTTCTTAGCAAAATACAATGGAGGGTTTTCGATATGTAATACTAAAAGAGAAACGAACAAAAACAAAAGGTTTCATGTTTAGTTGTAAACGAGGTTATTTTCTAGGGCGATATCTGGAATATAACTAGTAATAACCAAAGGTTACAAAGTGCGCGGGCGACAACGATCGAGGGTCAAAACGCTTTTTCTCAAACGCTGTGTTTACTTAAGTTTCACGTGATAGTTAATCAAAACGCGCTATTAAATTACAAGTGATAGAAGGTCCAAACGCGCGTGATCACAGATTGTGTTCGATGCATTCCATTCATTCTTAGTGGAAGTCCAAACTGGCTAAATACGTGGGGAGCATGCGTAATAACAACCTGGAGATTAGGGTTGCGGGCTCCTCTTGTCGCCAGAAATTATGGCACCTTCCTTGGTCTTCAAAATTCGTTATTTCAAGGTACTAACTGAGCTAAATACCATCATTGTTTTGATATTCATTCAATATTTCTCTAAGTTCAAATCATGCCGTGAACCTAGGCCTGTATCGACATTTGCCTGTTCCTCGGCAGTTGATACAGAAGATGAAAGGATGCAAGTTTTATATTCTATCAGATATTCTTCCGTGACAATTTTCAGTCGTTGATTAAAATTTTTGTTACTTTGTCTATTTTTTTTTTACTATGTTTTTGAAGCAGTACTTGGGCTATTTTTAGCCATTTTCACCACCTCTTTTATTCACTGCCAAAAACAGATGGTCCACCGGGCCGGGTCACCGGGTCCCGCGTCCCTCATGATTTTCTCTCGATATCATTACTATGTCTAGGTATGGTTTCAATTGTATTGATATCAACAAACATCTTCCAAGTTTGGTCAATGCCTGCTGGTTATAAAGAATTCGTCAAGCGATTTGAGATAATCCAGAAAGGAGAAATATTTTGAATGAATAATAAATGCAATCATTTCTCCTGGCTGTGGGCAGTTATGAAAAAGCACAGCCAAGAGCTGTTTCAAGGAAATTAGGATAGAATATATTCGATTGGAACAAGAATTGACCAATGAAATTCATTCTGGGAATCCTTAGTTTACTGAGTCACTCAGTTCTGACCATTGCAACATCGCATCTTGCTCTGCGGGCCAAATGATATTCACTTGGATTTAGCGTTTCAGCGGGAAAGCTTTTTCATTAATACTTGAAGTATCTTTTCGTTGTTAATCCTACGCACCCTAAAACTGAAAAAGGAACAAATACAATTCAGCATACAGTATGCGGTTATCTCAACTTACCACAATCTTTCAAGATGCTTTGCGCACGTTGTGATAGCGTGCGATAATTGTCTTCGATAAATTGGTCCAAGCTGACTCGGTAGAGTTCTTGAAATGCATCTAAGGTTTCTCTCAACTGATTTCTTGAAAGAGGTTCGTACAGAAGAGAAAGGAGATCATGGTCTTTATGAAGCTGTTTTGCTCTTTCCTTTGCAGCAATTTTGTCCGCTCTTTTGTTGATGAATGGTCGATCGGTGTTCAGTAAGGAACCTAGAATGTCCTGGACGTCTTTATCAGGCATCTTGAGCAGTTCATCCTGTACCTTTTTATTGTACTCTGAAAATTGCAATAAAATAACTCTCAAAAAGCTGAAGTGTTTCGAAAATTTACAGTAATCGGCTTATCTTAACTGCAGGCAGGATGCACCCTTTTCATTGGCCCTGCAGGCCTCTTACCTGTTAAATACTCTTCCTCAATATCCACTAAGATTTCACTTCTACTTGATAGCATTATAGTCTCAACGGTGTCGTAATCTTGGTCTTGAAATGCTTTATTTAATGACTGGACATCATAAGTGACTGGCGAGCACAGTAAGGCCGATACCACTTGTTCAGTCACTCCACTCAGCTCTGATTCAATCACGTTTGTGAAATCCTGTACACATACAGAGATGACACGTTAAGTAAGAAGCACTTAAGGTAGTGTTTTGAGTCATCCATTTATAAACGTCTTTCCAGAATTCCAGAATTTTTGAGTGTACCTGCAGTACCAGAACAAGTGGGCAAGGGTTTCATTAGATTCCCCGCAGATAGAACAGGACACTGCTGTAACATCGTATTTTGCCCTTTTCTCTTGTCATGTTAATGTACCGTAAATCCTCTATTAAGCCCCCCCCTCTCAATTAAGCCCCCCTCTCTAATAAGCGCCCTCTTTTCAGAGGAGGAAAGTTAATAAGCCCCCCGGGGGGCTTAATAGGGGATTTACGGTGAGTTGTTTCTATTTTCCCTCCATATAAATGTAAGTATTGTCATAATTGTAATCAAATAAATGTTATTAAAAAAAAGAAGAAGCACTTAAATTTGTACATGATAGCAAAGCAATAACAACAAAAAACAAAAATAAAAAAGAACAGAATTTTGAAATGCTAAACTTATTTTATGATTCCTTTTGATCAAGAATAACCTTGAATTAGTGTAACGATGCTTTTAAACCAACGCGTTTTAGCCAAAAGTACCATTTGCCTGCAAAAATGGTGATGGCGATCAGGCTCCAAATCATCCTTTGAACTATGATGATTAAAATCATTCGATGCACCCCTGCAGTAGCCTGCGTAGCAGGCGCTTGAAAATTGTGGGTGCAAGAAAGAACGGGGCCGCACACTAAGGGAGACACGCGGCCGTTGCCCGCCTCGTTCTTTCTTGCGCCCATTACTTTCAAGCTATGCTGGCTACCCTTGCTGTATCTATATATATATTCGCTAGGGTAACAAAAGAATTCCCTCTTCGTATACGTAGTTTTGCTTACCTCGTTAAAACGATCTTTGTAAGCCTTCAACAGTCTCTTCCTTCCCTTGTTAGTAAACTTAGACAGTATTCGAACAATACACGTTTCATCAGTGCCCAGTCCCTTAACTGCGTCGTGCAGTCTACCAGCTTCTTTGTCCATGTTAAGATTTTTCGTTATTGTCGGGCTCAAACCACCCTGTAGAGACAACAAAATCATGAGATAGAAACCAGAATTGTAATAGTTTTTGTTTCATTGATTTCCGCGTTATCATCTTTTAATACATAACAGCATTTGTTATTTAATTATTTAATTATTTAATACATAACAGTACTTATTATTTCTCCTATTATTTTGAATAAGCAATTATTGCAATGGATTGATTAGGTGAATACATAAATTAGTTCATTTACCCTCATAACTGATAAAGATAATGATAAAGATGCGATGGAAAAGTCGTGAAGTTCTCAAATCTATTATTCTGGTAATTTTAAGAACACACTCAGATTGTTAAAAAATATGCAGCTAGAGCCGGTCAACAACGATGTTCCTCTATACACGAAATTGCCCCCCTTGTTTCCAATTCTCTATTACCAGAGAAAAAATTGATGCAAACAAAGTACGGATGGCTATTAAAAACTGACTAAAGTAAAACATTCACAGGAAAAAAAAATCAAAATAAGTGTCGCACCAGTGACCATAGCAAATAAAATTGTAATGTGGATTTTAGAAAAAGTAGAGTGTGGTACATTAAAGAGCGCCTTCAAATATAAAACCTGTGGACTGATATGAGCAGCTTATAGAAGTAGCGAAAAAGGCCAGTTATCAGTTAAGGAGTGGTAATATATTGTCACACTAACTGACTGCCACGACATGGCACGTAGCGTAGCTCAGCGTGCCACTGACAGAACAAACATCCGCCAAATTCACTCCATTTCCGTCACTAGCAGAGACATTATATCTTATTTTTTCGAGTTATAAAGTGCTGCCCTTTCTTTAGTTGTAGTTCTTCAGTATAAAGAGGAAACTGAAGTGGACGAATGGGCCCAGATGTCACAACGCTGTTCAAAATACTCAGCGAGTGCATTTGATTGATGGCATTTCGCCGGGATAAGAATATGCAAAAGTTATATTGATTTCTCTTATACGGTGATTTGTTGACCATCACTTAGTAAATGCTACGTACTTCGAAATATTTTATTTCAAGCAGATTTCGTGATATAGCAATGCAGTGAAAGCCAAAATAAGTGATTTTTAGGGTTTATTCCATTTATTCTTATTCTGGAATACTGTGCAGACGGCCGGCTCACCTTTTGCAGTTCATCGAGTGTAACAGTTCATAAGGAAGGTCTTAAATTTTTTTAAAGTGAAGTTAGCTTAGAAGCGACCAAATGGAATTTTTAAAGGTTTCATGCATGTAACACAGCTACTGAAAAAAAATCTTTAGAATTATTGAAAAGTAATATTTAAACAAAGAAGAAATGACTGACTTACGTTCAACACCGATTTGGGTTTAGAAGACGATGCACAACCCATTGATTAGTGGTTTAAGTGTTAGTGTTGCCTTACTTTACTCAGCGAATTAGCAGCTCAATTATCGGTGAAAAGGCAAACAGGATAACAGAGCTCGCCATTACAAGGGTTTCAGACGCACAGACTCGCCTTAAAGTTCTTGTATGAAACAAATGGTTTCTCGAGCGTGAATAATTCCTAGCCAATTGTCCAAACTAAAATAGTGCATTTGCATCATTTGGAGGCTTTTACAAAAATAGCCTCATGTCAAGTCATGTGGACATTCCTTTTCATTAGTTGTGCATTAACTTATAAGAATAAAAGAAATGCCGGATCTCTAGAGTATATCACATGGTGTGAAATGGGGCACCAAAAAAGCCAATTTAATTTTTATCGTTCGTTTCAATCATTTTGGAAGTTTAAACAGAACATTAACAGTATGAATGCATGCGAAGTAGATGTGTTGGCGTCACTTCCGTTCTTTTTGTTCAGTTGTAGACAACTATCAAAATCTTGGTGGTTTCTTGGTGTTGCGGACACCAATGACGTAATACAAAAGATTGAAAAGACACTGAACAATACCCACACCACAACACAAAAGCTAACAAACAATAGTTTCCGCAACACCAGAAACACCCAAAATCTTTGTAATGGAAAAGATCTATAAATATACTATCACCCAACAGATAAAAAACAAGACAGTGTCATTGTCAGTAGAAACAGCATTTGTTTGAGCGCTTTAGGGAGTTAGTCGTCATGTAGCGATTGAAAGCAGTTTAAATTCACGCCTTTCCTGGTCAGTTACTCTAATCATCGTGACAAGGAGAAAACGACTTTCGGTAAGGAGCCCTGCCCATAAAGCTGAAGATGCAAATAATTATCCGGAGAGATGACAAAACCCAATGACGCCTATTTAGTCTTTATGGTCAATGATTTTTCCGCCAAGTGAATCACTTCCATCTGAAAATGATACAAACCGGTGGCTCAAAGAATAGCTCAACATTTTCATTGACTGCAATTTATTTCCTAACTGGCTTTAAGAGGCTGTAAACGAGGCTTTTCTGATGGAAAAAAATGTTAAATTTTAAGTTTTCTCGGGGACCGAGCAAGAGAATAGCCAAAAATGCCACATGCCCTATATGCTAACGGTCTTCTAATTCCGTTGCCTCCAAAGAGAAAAAAATCCACGGCTACTGTAGATGTCCTGAACTCCTGCGTTTACTACTTAAGTAACTAAAACATAATGGATAAAATACAATTTTGAAAGTAACATAAACAATATTTGAAGGGGTCTGTCTATTAAATATACTGCGTGCCGCGAGCAGATTATTCCGTTTAATAAATGCGATAGTTTCAATTTACAGTTAAGTTGTAAAATTGTTACTAGTGAAATCTCGAATCAAATTTTTAGGCAGATTTTGAAAATATGAAGATCGGGCAATCACACACGTTGGCAAGACTGAATAAATTTTAGTTTGGCTCTCTGCAGATATAACAAAAATTTTTGTGTTACCAAGTAACATGAGTTAATTATTGAAAGATTGCGGACAAACCAGTTTGCATTACAATGATTACAATGAATCACTATGATAGCGAACTTGCACTTTGAAACGGTTGCTATGATAAAGTTAGTCCACAAACAATGAAAAGAATATACAAAAAGGACGAAATTTGACGATTTCAAAATAGTATTTTACTCTTTAAAAAATGTTTCCCCAAGAGAAAAATATATTCTGACAACTTAAAATAAATATTAGGAAACCAGCTTACTTGTAAATGATTCAACGACAATAAAAACTTATTCCGGCTAAGTTATTTTTATAGATGCTTGACTTGTACTAAAAATGAAAAAAAAAAAAGCAAAAAAAACTGACTCACGCATAAATCAGAAGTAGATTTTGAAGACGCAGCACAACCCATTGAAGATTTTGAAGACGTACTGTAGACGCAACAGATGCACCACAGTCCACCACGAACAAGCAGCGTCAATGAAGGCAAGCGGTTTGATAACCAGATACAGTGCACTTAGGAGTAAGCAAATTTTAAAACACAATGGCGTAGGAGGATGGTAACGGTAACGCCCTTTCTCGTGGCCAGTGAGGTCATGTGATATTGATGTAACGACAGCTAATAAGCATTTTTTACGTCATGTAGTGCCACTGACACGTCAAAAGTGTCACAAGTAGTAAAAGTGCACAAGGAAGACACTACTATCTTTCTAAAATGATTTCCGGTTTTACACACGGATTTATTTAAAATAGAACAAAACGTCCTTTGACTAATGGAAGCAAAACCACAAAACCAGCATCAGCTAAGTGAATTTTAGGAGGGGTCCGTTATGCCTGCTGGTCCCGCGGCAACTTGAGCAGGGCCCTACTCGCAATTCGATCACCAAATTACGCAATTTACAAATTATATAAAACCAGGGCATAAAAGAATCGGCGCACTTTTGGTTCCTCGGTTTTTTGGCATTGCACTGGCAAAGGATCAGGACTATACAGTAGGGAACCCTCCCCTACACACTTCAATTATTATTTTTTTCAATTATTCTATTTCATCACTGTTTACTCGTCACTATTACTCTTCTCTTTCGGTAAGCATCAGTTTGCCTTTTTTCACGTAGTGTCGTGATAAATAAGATATGGTATTTGTGAAGCGTTAACCGTAAATAACCGCTACGTAGGCGCTGCCGGCACCGTAGCGTCAACAAGGACATAATGACGTGACATTACTCAAGTGGTCTCTCGTCAAAACTTATCTGTTACGTACCAGACCCTACCAAGAACCCATTTCTCTTGCGTAAAGTTTGTACTGAACTTGAGAGAGAAAGATTTTTAAAAAGGATGTAAACAGTAATTTAAGAATGTAAATTGCAGGCGAAGTCAAGAGCTACCTACAGTTGACTGACTCCCGATAACTCGAACCTTCGAAAACTCGAAACTCCCGCTAACTCGAAGTAATTTTGTTTCCCTGAGATCATTTCTACATAATTTTACCCTCAATGACTCGAACTGGCCATGTTTTAAGCGCCGCGTGACAAATCGAAAACAAAAACAGTGTACTTAAGTCCGAAACATTGAATTTATTTCAAAACGACACTTTTTTTGTCGCTCCAGTTCAAATTCAGTGTCGGCATCCGTGTATATTAATCAAGCTTTGTTGCTTCATTCTTTTTTCAAAATATCAATCTAAATCATGTCTAATGATTTCCGGTTATTTGCCTGGAACTCCAGATAACTCGAACTTTTTTCGATTTCCCAAGAAGGTTCGAGTTATCGGGCGTCGACTGTACTATAATATTATATTATTTTTTATCCCGTCGGTCCATTAGCAGCTGACCTGTGAGCATTCAAATGAAAGAGCTTTGCTTTCCTATGTATATAACTACAATACTGTTTAATATACTCCTAGTTATAGTGGCGGTGTCTAGCTTACAATATCATGTAAGAATAAACCTTCAACCAGAAATACAAAATTATCATGTATAACTTTCAGTTTGAGGACTTAAAATCTATGTGTGTCAGAGCGTGTTAATAACTATCTGACTGATATTCCAATCATGTACAAGATGTCGACAGTAGCAATTGAAAATCGACGAGAAATACTGCTGATTGTTGTCAAATCGTCAGATAGCTTGCGGTAAAAGACTCTATTTGTATTCTAGAACGTTCAGATACATGGTATCTTTCATAATTTATGGCAAACAACCCACCATGGAAGCTCTTGAAAGAGGTCCACCTGCTTCTTCTCGGCCTTTATTCCTCACTGCGCAACAGCTTTCGAGCTATTTCGCAAGATGAATTTCTTCGTGTTACTCCTTTTTATAGGGAACATTTTTGGCCTGGGACATATTTCATATCCTGGTGTGGGCTGGAGAACTCTAAACTTTGCCGAGCCAGTAGAAAAAAGGAGGTTGAATGGAAGTGTGATTAAAGATGAAGAAGTAGAATCAGAATTAGCTTGTCAATTTAAATGTGTAGGAGAACATCGTTGTCAATCTTACAACTTTGGACCTTCAGAGACCGGCCTGGCGAAGCATTTGTGTCAACTGAGCAACTCTGATCGATTTGTTGATCGTGAGAACTTCATAGAAGATGCAAATTTCAAGTACGGAGGATTTCAGGTATCATCTGCTTTTATTCACCATTTGAAAGGGAAAATTTTAAAGTTAACGTAGTTGCAGGTGAAGTTTTCGAGGCTTAAGAATTTCACATATCTTAAAGTGAAATAAGTCAGTCTTTTTCAAAAACTGGTTGCAAGATAGCTGAAAAACACACTTTTTAAGAAAGGACTATTGCTGATTACGTACTTGATGCTTAAATACATTAAAATAAATGAAAACATTTCTGACCTTTATCAGAAAGTATTGAATTCATCGCAAGTAGCCCTGGTCACTCAAGTAGTTTAAGCCATGGGTCTAATAGGTTTACCTTTGGAAAATGATTTATTGGCTATAACTTTGGCACAGATTATGTAGCTGATTCAAAATCTGCCACACATAAAAAACTTATGATCATCGTCCTTAACATTTTAAAGTAAAACATTGTGTTAATAAATCACATGATATCTCACGTGACCATTTTGAAATAATTGGACAAATTGGTAGCGGGTTTAAGAAAAGAAATCGAGCGATAACATTTTTCTCATTCTTATTAAATGTCTCTAACACTTCTCGTTCGGAATGACCGTCCATTGCACTTCAATAAAAATTATGAGGGAAAACATCATTTTAAATGTCCTAATTTGACCTTGAATTATTTAAAACTTAAAATTTAAACTTCGCGTACATTCATTCCGAACGTAGAAAGTTAGGTATGTTTATCTTCTATTTATCCAAACGAAGTAAATTTGCCACCAATTCGCCAACTTCCTTCATTTTCAACTTTTGGTCACGTGATCATAATTAAACGTTAAGGCGCAAGAAGACCTCAAGATTTACTTTTGGGGAAAATTTCATTTTGTTTTAGGTCTCCTAGCGAGAGATATTGTTATTCAATCATATTCTCCGAACACACCTTTGACCCAGGCCTTAAAGCCCTTGAGCAATCTATCGAACAAGGCTAGATTCACTGTTTGGGTGACCCCATTATAAATTACGTTCTAAGAAACTGTAAAACCAACGTCTTATTCCTACGAGCATTTCTATCTCAAACGACGCTAGCACCTCGTGTACCTTTTAGTT